AAATTTATTCCTTTGAGATTGAAGCATATGTATTCAAAACTTAGATTCATTTGAAGTTCCTTCTTTGGGAAATATAAAAATGCCCTTGACAGTTATTTGTATTTTACTGAGATTATGAAATAATAATGATTGCCTGAAAATATTAAGAATGTGTAATCGCACATTTAACAGTTTTAAAAAAGGCTGCTTCTTTAAGAAACAGGTTGAAGTGGATTTAATGAAATCCACTGAGCCGCCGGCTGCACTAGAGCAGGGAGTTAAATGACCTGGAACAAACTGGAAATATGTCTGGTCCCGGGAGCAGCTAGTGCTGCAGAGCCGGAGCAGCAGGATTGACCCGGAGACGGATTCTGAGCTGAAGACACAGATGCATTTTTTATATTTTTTGCAGATTCAGTAAAGAAACTAAGTAACTGGCACACAGGAAGCTAGGAGAGAGAAGAAAAGGGAAACTAGGGTACCAGAGGAGCCAGATATGTGACAGAAAATCCTTTCGTCTAGAGTAAAAAGTGATGATCAGTGGTTAGAGCAGTGACTTTGCAGGAAGAAAATTCTTTAGTTGCAAGTATGGCTAGCAAATAGGTGGTTATTTTTTGTTGTGGTGTGTAACTAGGTGTTAACCCTGGAAATAAAGATACATTTTCTTACTTCACTAGAGGAAAGGAATTCCTGAATCTCTCTTAGAGCAGAATGCTGCAGGACAGTTTTTGGGAATCATTCAGTGTGTGTGTCATGAGGACAGAGTGATAGCTTTGGGTCTGATCCGTCTAAAATCTATGAACGCTTGAAGCTACTTTTGTCTTTGTTAAGATTTTAATTTAAGGATGAATGATTTAAGAATAATTTAAGAATGAAGAATGAATACTGTTAGGTTCAAATGAAGCCCTAGTAGAAGCAGTTAGTTTAGCTGGGCATGGGAATGGAAGTATAAGTTGAAATTAATAGGTTAGAGTAGTTGTGTTGTAAACTTGGAAATACAGTGAGGAACAGAGAGAATCTGATAGAGTATGAAAGACACCGGAGAAAGAAAGGAAATGATTAAAAAATGCTTGATAGGAAGTGAACAAAAGAATTGGAAACAAAGTCTAGTCTAATTTGAGAGCTGAAGAGCTACAAAACTGCGAATAAAAATTATATTAAAATGATACTGCAGGTGGGAGGAAATCTGTCAAACATAATGCTAATGGTGAAGGAGAAAAAGGGAAAAATGTATAATTTTCCGTTATACAGTCACACATACTTAATTGTCACTAAATAATAAGGGAAAAAAATAAGAAAGTGTTATTCTGGGAGTTAAGTAGAAGGCTTTTAATTACAGAAAGTTCTCTGTAATAAGGATTTGATGGTGATCAGACAGCAGAGGCTTTTTTTTTTTTTTTTTTCCTTCCCAAATGTGATTAGTAAGTTTAGACTACGGTAAGTTCTACTTCACATTTTGAAATTTATTACTGTGCATATTAGGAACAAAGCGCAGTTGGGTAAATATTTGTACTATTGATTGCAATATTCCTCAGGCCGATAGATGTCAGCTTAACTCTTTGTATTTACTGTGGGGTTCTAGTTGCCTTTAACTGCTACAGAACTGTAAAGGCTACTGTAGAAGTTCTAAACTACTGCCCATGTTAAAAGATGTGCTGAAATGGTAATTTAGAAAAATGTATATGATGTATATGACATATAAATGCACATGGATAAGCTGTTTTTTCTTTTCTTTTTTTTTTTTTTTTTTAACCCAGCTGTATGTTTCTCATGGAAATACTTTCAAAAAACAAAACAAACACAGGCTACATTTTATGCTAGATGCAGTCTTATGCTTTGTTAGTTCTGGCATATATGACAATATTATGTTAACTGTGTCTCTTAATAACTTTTATTTCGTACATTTTTTTAGCTTGAGTCCTTCTCCTGCCTCCTCCCCTCACTCCCCTAGCTCTCCATCGAAACCAGGCAGGTGGTCTCTGAACTGCTTTGTGGGCCGCACAGTGAGTAAGGGAGCCTGCTTCCTAGGCTGTAACTAGCTATTTGCCCTCTAGTTACACCAGTTTTTAATTTCCCTTTGCTGAATTCTTGATCAGTAAAAGGAAAATGCTGTTGACGAATTAAGCAGTACTTTGAACCCTTTGGAAGAAAAAAAACATTTAAAAGACTTCACTTGCCATTTTTTGTTTTGTTTAGAAAGAGAAAATGATAATACAAGTTTCTGGGTATATTTAGCATAATTTTTGTGGGCAAACTGGAGGCAATGTGTAGTCACAATGCATATTTAGAAGCTAGTATGTACCCGATTGTCTTGGGCTGAAATTTGTGTTTGTTTACCTGCACACTTGATTACTATTTCTTTAATTCTCTGCATATTTAACTCCTGTCTAATTACCCTGGTGATTTCCTACATAATTAATTATCTACTACTTAATCATAGAATCTCTGCATAGTTAATTGACTTATTGCTTATTTGATTTTTACACTTAATTGACTTTAATTCATTGCTCTATTACTATACCACCTAGTTAGCAACTGTTAATCAATTACCATTTGCTTGCTCCTGCTGTAGTTGTTTAGGCCCATGATCAGCCCAGTTTATGCTCTGCTTTTGGCTTCCGAATTTGTCTTCCAGTCATTCTTCCTAAACTCATTTCTTTCCCCATTTGTGATTTTTTTTCCCTTTCCTCCCATTTCACTTGCTTTTCCTGTCAGTGTCTGGGCCTTCAGAGGCATTACTGTTTACTTATACTGTTCTCTGCTACTTGGTTTATTCACTGTATTTTTACTTCTTTTTGAAGCATTGCTTTACTTGAGTCATTCCTGTGGTGTTTCATTTTGTTTTTTGCTTTAGGTGATTACCTTATGACCTTAAGCACATGGGGCTTTAACAACCTTTAAACAACCCTTTTTGGGGCATTCTTCCTGCTCTTCCACCCTTTGCTATGTCCTCACTGGGAACACTGAGAAATAGCTGCTGTGTGGGTACAGATGAAAACTGTTGAAGGAGGAGATGGGAGGCACAATGTGGTGAGCCTGAGTTTTTAGGGGAAGAAAAAAATTGCAGGTTAGAAAGTAGTGATGGCAGTAGATAATAAAACCTCAAAATAGAAGTGTCACCCAGATAGTGGAATTTAGTGTTTAGTGTTAAATATTTTGATAAATGTTCATTTTATATATAAATTTATACATATATATGCATGTATATTAAATATGCACATATGTGTTTTTTACTTTTGTATTATGAATCTTAAATATGCATACACGTTTAGACAGAATAGTTCTCATTGTTTTAATAATGAGCCTTATCATGTTTTAATTTTAAAAGAAAGAATAAATGCTAAAACTGCTCTAGCAGAACTGTTTCAAAGGGACCTTTCCATTATATACACGCTGCAGTGGAAATAAAAATATGTGTGTGCTCAAGGCAGGCAAATGCCTGAGAAGGAACCCTGTTGATCTTACAAGGATACATTGAGCATTTTATGTATTTTACGTAACTGTTTTTATGCTTAATATACTGTATCTTTGGAAGGTAGGTACTGTAAAAACAAACAATATTTGAGGTGTTTTTCAGAGGGTTTATTATTATTATTTAAGACACGTCATGCTTTTTAGTTTTGAGGTTGTTCTATTATAGCTTCCTCTTATATTTATTAATATGTTTATTAGCTATTTATCAGCTTCCTCTTCACCCCCCAAATCCCCCCAAATCTGATAGAATATAACATCTTTTCTGACTAAGAGGTGGTTTTGTGTGGACCCCAAGCAGTATTAGTTATTTCATGTGGACGCTATTCAGCTTTGGGAGCCTGAGGGAACGGAAAGTTTGAAGCAGATCCCTGGGCCAGAGGTTTCTGTAGGTACTTGAGGAATCAGCATAATGTTAGAATTGGCTCCTAGTTGTTAGTTTTCACTGGGCACAGGAAGGAGCAAGGGCTATTTAAAAAATCAAAGCATTAAAACAAATCACACATGTTTTAAAATGGAAACTAAGTCTTGTGGATTAACTGTTTTCCAAAAGTTTGGGAGTGTGTTTTCTTTTATTTTTTTTTTAATCTTGATTTTTTTTTCAGTTATTAACTTGTAATATGCAGTAACCCTTCTTTTGTCCTTTACTGTCTTGTGGTTTTGCTTTTGCTTTGGCAGCACATGTCTATTCTCAGTGAATAAAGGAGACAGAATTTTAACATAAAGAGAAAATCTGCTAAATTTCAGTTTAAATCAGTGGACAAGGAAAATTAGAATTGGTTTTAATGTCCTTCTTCATTTGGTAATGGTTAAAAATTCATTGGCTTTTTTGTTTGTCTAAAAGAGGATTGTTTTGGGAATCAACAAAAAATTTTCATAGGACCTTTAAATCAAAGGATATATGAAATAGTGTTTCTGTTAATGTCAAATATATAAAATATAATTGTTTACACCTCTAGGACCTCTAGGAAATGTTTTGTTTTGAGAGTAAATCTTCCCCTGCCTCTGCCCATAATTTTTCCTCCTATTCTTTTCAGAACTTTACCTGTTTAGATCAAGCAGATAAGATGGGTAAATGTGATTAGAAACAGCAGTGAGGTCCATAAATGTAAACTGGATGTGGAGCCCAGCTTTTCTACCTTATAGGGTCACTTTGGAAGGATGAAATGTGTTTTATACCAACATGGCACACGCATGGATTGCATGCAGTGACTTCACATTTTATATAATTTTCTATTTTTCACTTTCTGAGGCTTAGAGAAGAAAATATTTTTTGTCTATCTTTATTCCTTTTAAGTCTTACTATTTCTAAGAAGATTTGAGTAAGGATGAATTTCTTGCCCTGCGAGAGTCTGAATAGAAGTTCTAACCATTTCTTAAACTGTTTCATTTTATGATTCACTATGAATGCATTCATTTATTGGTGCAACAGTCTTTAATTACTGTCTAATTTGTGTTGTCAAAAATAAAACTCAGTACCTAGTGGTATTTTAAATTAACCACTAAAATTTACAAGTATTAACTCTGCCTTTAAACTTTTTTTTTAGGGGTCAATTCCATCTTCATGTGTAAACTTTGTAACTTATTTTCACCAAATCAGTCGGAATTACTGTCCCACGTCTCTGAGAAGCATACAGAAGAGGGGACTGATGTGGACGACATCATTATTCCGCTCCAACCACTAGCAGCACCCACAAATATAAGCAAAAATGGAGAAGGTACTTGGATAAATTGGAAAGAATGTATTTTTCAATTAGTTATTTGTGTTTTACTGGAGTCTGTCATATCATGATTTCACACTGTGCAAGGAATTACTTACATAGCTTGTTTCTATAATGGTCACTGTGTACTGCCTGCTTGAATTTCATTCCGTGCCAAGTGCATCAGAGGATGAACTTGCATAAACTCAACATGTGTCAGGGGATGATTACATTGGTTCTTTGATTTTAAATGTCAAGTATGGCAAAATCTGCTTAATAAGGCCTTAATTGGAAGCTCTGTGATAAAAATGGAAACAATGTTAGTTCTAAACAATTGAGTTTTCCATGACAAGCAGACAGTGCATCCGGAACTCAAGGTAGAGAGGGAATGTGGGTCTTGAAGCTTAGGATAGTGGCATGCTTTGAGTTGTCCAACTCTTGGCTTGTTGTGTTTAAGATAAATAATAATTTTAATAGAATTATAGATAATAGTAGATAATTCTATTTTAGAAAAGAGATGGCATAATCCATAATTTTTAGTTTTTCTTTGATATTGGTTCTAGTAAATAAAGCAGTCTGGTAGTGAAAGGTTGGATTAGTTTTTCAGAACAATTTCACTCAGCTTTGCAAGAAGTTATATTGATTACCTTTTCAATTGATTATAATTGCAACCAAGTGTAATAGTAGGGAGAGGTATAAAGTAATTCATATTTCATAATTACACTTTTCTTTAGGCTCTTATTGAACAATGTTTTTATTGTTGGCAAACCTTTTATTTAACACAACTACCATGATTTTGCAAATACTTAATCATTACGATTACTGGATTTCATGAAGTGTGTGTTTGTAATTAAAACAACAACTACTAATGTCATACTTGAAAGAATACTTTTCTTATTGTTAACATATACATGCGACATATATTTTCATTTGCTTACTAGCAAATATAGAATCATCAGTATAGGAAGATGCTTTTAATAATTGACATACAGTATTAGCCTATAGCTGCTATTTCCTCCTGTAGTTAGTGCGGAGAAGATTGCCCCAGGTTAACGTTTCACACTGCATGGTGCAGTGTGCATGCAGGGCGCATAAATACCAGAACTGCATCAACTACAGGATGAGTACCTCATGAATGCAGAGTCCATCTTCCTTTCTTACATTTTCTTTCCAGGTAACGCTTCACTCAGCTGTATTTCTGAGCACAGTGATGCTTATCCTGCTCCTTTTAGTTATGGGGCAGTTTGTAAACTGCTTTTGCATTTATGGCAGGGACTCTCTGCCATTTCTGTATTGTATACTGCCAACTCTACATTTACAAAATTTTGCATTTTTCAGAACAGTGTGTAATTTCAGTACTGATCTGAGGCAGAAACTAGACATATAAGGCCTGAATAGCCTACCGTAGCCTGCAGCCTAAATAAAAGTTTGCAAATCTAATTATATAAAATATAGCATCAGATTTTTAGTTATTCTTTGTTTGATGAGTACTTTGCATAATCTGATGTGATGTTGTTTTGAACATAGCTTTCAGTTTATGGTATAGGAATACTATGATATTTGCTTTTTTTCCTCATACAGATTCACCTGAGATGGATAATTTGGTCTGAGGTCTTGTTGAATTCTTTCCCACATTATGTTTAAAATTTAGAATATTTCTCAACTGAATCCTTTTTCAAGGCATTACATTTTCCTCTCCTGATTTGGAATCTACAGCAGAAAAAACTCAGCTCATTTTTATTTCACTTTTTTTTTTGTTTCTCAGTGGTCCCTTTTGTGCTTTTTTGCAGTTATTCAGTATTGTCACTAAAAACAGAAGTGATTGATGAACGAGCCTAGAATTTAAAACTTCTTTTCAGTACTTGTTGGCTGGTAAATGAATGTTTTTGTGTCCTTTGAAAGCATAGTTTCTATTCCAAGTGTAGGTAAGCACTGCAGTTATTCCAAAATTGTTTTAGATGAATGAATGGTGAGTGCATAATGGAGTTCTGGGTTCTGCCTGAGAGATAAATTAATAATTTTAAAAGCACTGTGGAGAAGTAAAATGCTAAACTTGTTTATTACATAAACAACTAATATTTATTACTGTAATGTATTTTATTGGCAGTGCTCTCTACTGAATTTTATTTCCTTATGCCTCTTTTCCATACTTGTGTCATGATACCCTTAGACTTAATTTGTTTTGGTTTTGCTATTGTCATACATGTTGTCTTATAGACCGCATTTTTCCAGAGCTGAAGTGTAGCCTCTTTGACTGTGAAAAAGACAAGTGTTTACTGGTTACACTAACCAATCATACTCTGCTTTTACATAGGATTTCTTTTTGTAACTTTTCTTAGTGATTGTCCATCTCTTTCAAAGTACTTCTCAACTCTGCCGTTTTGCTTCTACTTGGTCAGATTGCTGGTGTTTTGAGGGGGAGCATGGATGGCCGAAGCTTTATTTATTCATAATATTCCCAGAAGGATTATAGAGTTAACCAAATAAAAACTATATGTTCCTCATTAGGTGTTTTGCACCAGCAACTATTATTTACTTCTTATCATAGGCTATGTCTGTATTATGTGTTCTCTGCAGCACAGTCTTCAGGCCTGATTTATTGATTGTGAGACCTGGAAGAAAGTTAAAGTATTAGAAGCCTGGAAGGCTAATCTTTTAAGATTATTTAAAAGCTAGGTGGTATGTATCTCAGCTTCATCCTGACTTGAAGATGAGATGCAACTAGAACTTATATTCTGACCTGCCCTAAGAGCTGTTCCCGGGTCCTAGGATGCACAGTAATGGAGTGTGTGTGTGTATATATGTAATGATAACAGTAATGGTGTTAGGCTGTGGATGGGATTTATTTAGCACATTCTGAATACAGCCATGTACTACTGCAATTTATATGATTAAATAAAAGAAGATAAGCTTTTATGCTCACGCTTGAGGGGGGATTTATATTGCGTAATGCATCCACCTATAGAAATTTATTTAGAATGCCTTAATTAACACTTTCTCAAGTGTCACACTTGTGTGACTTCCAGCAAACTACTTGTGTTTTGATGATGCTATATCTGACAGTGTGATGGCTCCCCAAAGCTATTTGTCTATACAGGTTTGGGGGAAAAGAGCCAATTGAATGGTAGGAATCTCTTACATCACCTATTCCTCTCAAATCAGAGCTATTTACCCTATGACTACGTTAACATGATTTGCTGAAAGGCTGTATATGTGTAACCTGAATTATACATGCCGTGGAGTTAAAATTGAATAAAATAACTTTACAAAAATATATTTAGGCCTGGGTTGCGGATCTCTGTTTTTATGCAGCGTGATCCCAAACAAGTAATTTGTGAAAACTATCACGTATCCCAATAGATTTTTTTTTTAATAGATATTGTATAAGGGAATAATTAAATATAATTTTTCTGTATAATAACATGAGGGCTTCATAAATGGGGATGTTCTGTGCTACACACAGGCTGAACATTTTTCAGACAATTGATTATTAAATGGACTGGTTTTGAAAAGCTTGTGTAATTTCTATGAAGGAGCAGCACAAAAAATAGTCATACATATTTTATTTCACTATTCTTTTTGAAGTGTCTGAGAATTTTTTTAATGTCTTTGAGGACCTAATTATATAGCATAGTACAGATTGTCTTCCCTGAATGTTCCCATTGTGTACCCAGTAAAATCAGTGTAAAGATTTATTTCAAGGAACCTGTAGTGAGCATAAAAATCCCCAGGGACAACTGAGATTTAGAAGGAGGGAAATATTAAAAAATGCTAAGATTGTACTTTAAAAATCTTTTTTAAAGACCAATTTAAAGTGAATTTCTGACCAAGTGTGCTTGAAACAGTTGCTTGGGTGTGCCTATGTGCGCATATGTGTTTTTCCTGATATACTACTTTTGTCATTACCAGTTAAGCAGATGTTTTTCCAGTGAGGGGCAGTGTTGCTGGCTGGCTTGGTTATGTGCACATGAGCAGAGGACATGGTGCTGCCCCGGCCCCGTGTGCTGCTCATCACGGGCTGCACGTTGAGCTGCAGCTAGTGCCGTGGCCACAAACAGCTGGAACGTACGGCCATGGCCATGGTTAAACACCCGATTCTGCAAGTGGCAGCCCAAAATAGCTTGAAATACACTTAGCCCTGGAATGAGGGGAAGAAAAAAAATGAGAGAGGAATGAAATAAAGTGACTGCCATAAACCTCAGAAGTCTTGGTGGTCTCCTCCCCAGGGAATGTTCCTACCTAACACTTGCCGAGAAGCCTTGTTAAATCTCTGAGAACTGTTGTGGACTCCTCCGCTTGCTTATTTACAAGTAGGTTTAAATTTACAATCTTAAAGTTACGGGATTGTTTGCTTCCCCATTCTGTGGGTGAGAGGAACTCTACAATCAAGCTGCTATAAGGGTGCATTTCTCACATTTCACTTACTTATGTGATTCCATTTCTGTTTTCAAATGCTGTTTTGTCTTTCATTACTTTACATTAAAATGATCAAGAAGAAATACACCTTTTTCAGCTGACTCCATCTCCCTTCTTTTTGGATATTTTGTTGGACAATTTCATGATGGTTGTAAAAGGATATTATGCAGAGTGGATAGGGTGTTTAAAGTCACACTTGGAGTCTTGGAATTTATATTCTATACTAGCTTCAGCAATATCTACATCTTCAGTCCTCGTAATATGCTTTACACTGTGAAAACTTGGGAATTTTTTGTATATGCTAGCGTGAAAGTATGTTTTTTGTTTATTAATTATGATGTTATTTTCTTTCAGTTGAGGCTAGTGATTGCTGCAAGTGATGTGTATCCAAATAAAAGCAGCAAAAAGAGCTTTTGAGGGCATTGAAATAATCTGTCTCTTTTTGGCTGATTATTCTGTAGCAAAACCACTTTTACCTAAATGAAGTAGTGTGGAAATTCACTGGTGGTAAAGGGTTCTATTAAAGTGCAAAGGTTGCTTTTATTTCTATCTCTTAGGCAGCTTTCAGTGTTTTTCTTACTACCTTGCATTTAAAAAGACAGGTGATCAGCACTGTACCAAGATAGAGTGGTTTGTCTTTCCTGTGTTATCAATTAGGTGATTATCTCAAAGCTGTGGTCTGTGCAAGAGGGTTTTTGTTTGCTTGGAATACTTAAGGGAAGTGTTGAAAAGCGTTGAAAACCTCTTGTTTTTTTCATCCTCTGCCCTTAGGATTTTTGAGGTCATCTATTTTTCTTTTTTTTGTTTTCTTCTCTGGCAAGCACATATATTTGAAAATCATTCGGAATTATTTTTAATGTTTTCTTCTCTTATGTAGTTGGGAACTTTACATTGCCAGTGTCAATCTACCAGACAGAATGTAGGCTGTTGGCTTAATGAATACTTGATAAAGAGGCAGTTCTCATAGTTCTTAATATACTTAGACGTTAGTGAAAGTTTCTGGAATAAGAGCGGTAAAGAAACAAGTTGCTTATGAGGAGGGACAGTTTAAGTGTTAAGCTTGTTCTTCTTGTGGACAAACATGTTCACAAACAATCTGAAACAAAAAATCTGAAAATTCAAACAATCTGAAAGTTCCTCACGAAGTATGGTATAAAGCACTAAAAAATCACACACATGGCTTCCTCCAAGATCTATGAAGAAAGATACAGACCAATTCCTTTCATTTTTATAAAACCAGTAAAATGGGAGTAACTGGTAGCCAAACTAACTAACTGAACTAACTGGTAGTGAAAATCTTTTAAAAGATTTCATCACTATCTGGAAATTTGTCCCATTTCCTCTTATTTTTCTCGACTAAAAGTACCCTGTGGATTTAGTTGATTAAGTCAATCTCATTTCCTAAGTTTGTGACAGGATATTAGCAAAATGGCTTTTGAAATAACTAGAGTAGTGATAGGAGAAATCTAAAGACATGTAAAGTTTTTTCTATTTTCTGTGTTTCCAGTATGATCTGCTATATGTCATTGAGTTATCCCAATTTCCTCCATAGAAAAAGGAAAATGTAAATTTATATACTATTTACCAAGTATCATGGATGCCTTCTGCTTTTCATTATTTGTAGTAATCATTAGGATTTTTTTTTATATGACTTTAGGAAATCTCTTTGTTTCCAACAGTTTTTCATCCTTGCCACTTCTGGCTAGAAAGTGCTACAAATAAAAAATTCTGGGTATTATTTGAGAGTAATTGTTCAATTCATTAAAAAGACAGCAAAATTTATGTTTTTAAAAAATAAACTTATTTTCTCTCTCTGAATGTATCTCAAATGTTTAAACCACTTCTCTGGGAGTGATTTAAATTAAGATGATATTCTGTGGAGTGTCAAAGAACACAGCTGAACACCTTTCTGGGAGTGCATATGCTGATACAATCATATGGTAAGCTGAATGAATCCTTTTACTTTAATTTCTAAAAATTTGTTGCACTTTGACATATTCAGTAATGCAAATGTGATTGCATTGCAGCTAGGAGAAATGCCAACAAATGTCTTCCTGTAAAAATAAGTTTGTGGGAAGCTAAGCTATTCTAATCTTCCAGTGGAGGATTTCAAACTTAAATTAATATCCTTACTTTTCAGAGAGCTGTATGGATATTAGCCAATTATCACAATAATCCTGTGAATTTTCATTAAAGCTCATTTTCAACTTTCTTTCCCAGAGCTTCTTGTGCAGAAGAGAAAAAGGGGCAGACCAAAAGGGTCTACAAAGAAATTCTGTGCGGATGAAGAAGTGGCAGAGAACAGTAATTCTGCTCCGAGCGAGGAAGCTCAGCCTGGCTCGGAGGAAGGACCAGAACCGGCCGAAGTCTCCCCAGGCAGTTTGGAGTGCAAGAAGTGCAGTCGGAAGTTCTCAAACACGCGCCAGCTGAGGAAGCACATCTGCATCCTTGTTTTAAATGAAGGAGAGGAAGATGGAGATGGAGGTAAGAAACGATCCAGCAAAAACATATGAAGTATGTTGTACACCATTTTTTTTTCCGTTTGGATTGTTACCTGATTGGTGACAACTTGTTGCACCTAATGTTAATTTTAAATGGAATTTTCTCCTTTTCACATTCATTTGGATGAGTCCATGTCAAAAGACAACTAGGCTTTTTGTCAAACTTACTGGGTCAGTGAAGACTAGAGTCATCTGGAGCAAATGGAACAGATGGAAAGCAAAACTGAGAAGAGAATCAGGCATTTTTTCTGAAAGGTCGAAATGTTTATTACACAATAGGTGTGTTAGACTCAATGAAACAGTTCTTTTGCATAAGAAACTATTGCATTGCTCACAAAGAAGATCATATTTTTGAGTAAAATAAGATTTGTCCACATAGATGGCTATCATATGTCAACGGGAAACTTGAACAGGCTTCAGTGATTAAAAATATTTATTGCTTTTGTTTGTTTTTAATGGGGATAAAAACAGGGATCGTCTTCTGGCAAGAAACTTGACCAGGCTTCAGTGATTAAAAATATGTATTTTTTTTTTTTTAATGGAGTTAAAAATAGAGATCGTCATATGTACTTATGAAAACTGGGATACAGACTTTTGCGTCTTCTTCCGGGTTAGATATAGAAACAAGCAGTCGACTGAAAACTGAAAATTATTTTAAGGCCTACTATTACAACAAGCAGTATCTTTTTCTTAAGAAGCAATTGCAAAATATCTCTATATTTTTCATATAATCAGAGGGTTTTTATTTCTTGTTTGTTTGCTTTTCTATTTAAAGACCACTTCTTTGGGTGACTTGTTTTATTGCATTAAAAAATTAGTGCCAAACATCCCTCTTATTTTACAATAGCTCATATGGAAGGGGGTGTTTGGAATCTTAGAGCTCTCTCTTTAATCTTGCTTTAAGATTGTTTGCAATGGTGGTGAATGTCACAGAGAGAGCAGTACATTCATCCAGGTTATCTAACTTGATCTGAGTTTTGTGCTTCTGTTAAATTTAGCTTTTTGCTTTTTTCTGTGCAATATCCTGTTGGTTCTGTTTACTGATCAAAACTTGTCATTGATTTTTCTCTACTGTTTTTTTTTAATTATTCCTTTGTGTCCACTGTGCCCTTGTGGTTCACAACTAGTATGTACTCTGTGAGATGTAGAGTTTGACTTAAACGCATTTTAATTATTCTTTCTTGTATAAGATGTGTTGACAGAACACAGAAACTCTTGCTTTCATAAAATGCCTAATTTTTTCCACTGTCATCAGTGGCAGGGTTTTTTAAACACCTTCAGTGCAGCTGTCTGATCTCTGACATCCTAAGTGTTAGTGCCCTTTGCTGTGCTAGATACAGTGTTAACATTTGCTTTATTTCAGCAATGTTACCTTTTCTAACTGACCTATTAAAGTAAAGTTGCAGAGGTCAGAGTATGAGTTCAAATTAGCTGTTCTCGACATGCTAGCTCATTAGAGCTGCTAAACATTGTTTATTCTCTTACATTACACACTGACAGACTTCTCAAACTGCTTAATGTTGCATTACGAGCTCAAAAAATTTCTTTAAAGTTTGAACCCTTGGAATTGTGCTGTTGTCAGGCTCAGTTTTCATTCAGAAAAAAATTCTGAGGATGATATGTGGACCTTCTAAACATGAACAAAAAAGCCTGAAATTTGACTGCTACAGCAATGTTGACCTTGAGCAGTGAGTCCTTGAACTTGAGGTTGCATCAGGATTGTTGGCAACTGAAGGCCATTAAACTAATGAATTATCTAAGTACATTACAAAGCTATCTGTATTTCTGATTTTCATCCTGCTTTTTCCTAACAAATTCCAGAGCGTTATTGCTTTCGATTGTTTTTTAAACTTGCTTCCTGCTTATTTTATTGAGTGCTGCCTTACTCTGTAACTCTGAATATGAAAACGCTTGGACTCAATTCTTCTCCCGTAGTCTTTGACCTCGAACTTAATACACACTAGCTAGATTTTCTGCCTTCGTCCATTGTTTAAGCTGTTGCCTTTCCAACTTGAAATTGCTTTTCGTTAGTTTTTGACTCATGTTTTTCGTGTCTTGCAAAGCTTAGCATTATATGGACCTCTGATTAATAATCAAATAAGTTTTCATCTGTGCATGTACAACACATGTCTCTTAGAAAAACAAACAAAACTGCATCGATTTGGCAGTACTTCAAAAAGTCGCACTTTATGTAAACTCAAACAAGAAGAAAAACCCTAAAAAACCCTTGCCTAGGTAGAGAACATTTGTGCATAGACAGAAATTGAGAAATTCAAAGGCAGTGTTTCCACAGCTGTGGCTTCACTAAATTGTCTCTTTAATTGAGACTTAAATTTAAAAAGCATGTTTAATAATAAAACTCAAAACTAGAAAAAAGATCTACATGCACTCAAATGTTCCAGATAATTATTGCTGTTTTTTTGATTGCTTTAGTGCTGCTTGAAGCATTGCAGAACTATTGTGCTATTAAATGACAGTCATTTCACATGAAAATAAGAAAGAACGGTGAATGTAGGGTATAACTAAAAATACGAATGTGGTATTGAAAAATATAATCAAAATATTTTTATTTGATTAACAAATAAACTCTTTAAGTTACAGTATGATTCAGAGATTTTATGCCAAAATTAAAAATATTGACCAGATATACATTTCAATCTGATATTCTTTATCAAGACTAACATAAAAAGTGCAGTGAGCTGAAGATGAAGTTAAATATCAGCAGAAAGTTTCCAGGTAATAAAATATATTGCTTTTCTTCATTGAACCCCAAGGGAAGTGTTGTAATCCTTATCATATTGAAGGTGCAATAGATACAACACTAAAACAATGTATTGAAACAGCGTGTGTATTGGGCAGAGAAGTAATCAGTGGACGTAATCGGGCTCTGCCATCCTTTGGATCATCCGTGATCCACGCTGAGCTCTTGGGGAGCGCAGCTCCTTGTTGATGGCTCTCCCTCGATGCCAGGAGTCAGGAAGCCCTGTGAGTTATTGACAACCTCTGTGCAGCTCTATGTAATCTTTTGATGCAGAATGTCTGCCTTCACCTTATGGGTTTATCTGCTAAATCAATGAGAACAAAGTGTCTTTCTTGCACAGAATTAAAGAAAAATATGACCACTGTTTAAAAATCCCACATATGCAGGCTCAGTAGATAATACGTTTTTAATAGAAGGCTTATCCCTAAGAAAGTTTCTGTGCTTTAAGCAAAGTGGTATGTATACTCACTTGTGTTTCTGTTTGGTTAAAGCAAAATGATTTTTTTTTTTTTTGGCTAATGGGCTGGCCCTGGCTGTACTGCCACCCTGCTTGTTGGCAAAGCTGAGCAGGAGTGTGTGCAGCCATCTGGCTTCCTTCTGCCTGCTCCCAGCCAGGAAACGGAGCTGCCACTGGAATGGGATGAGGGTTTTGGGCTGTTCCTGCATTGAATCACTCCCCTTGTCGCTGCTCTGCGCTCTCTTGGTTTGAGGGACAGACAACAGACAACTGTTTTTATCAGAAGCTTTTTCCCATACTGTGTCACACATGAATCTCTGGTTGATGCGAGAGAGTGTATTTGGTAGCTGGGAAATGGGGTTTGATGGAAGACAGATTACAGCAGAACATGGGTGGATTTGGTTCTGTGAATTAAACAACACTGACCTAAAAAACAGACAAATAAACAACTCTAACTTTAGATTTACAACAGCATACTTCCCATCGTCTTGGTGTCAGTACAGAAGAGCTCTCACTGGTGCAAGCAATTATATTCAAGCAGCTTAAGAAGTCACTCTTTTTCCTGTTAATATTACAGCCTCTCCATTGAAACATCATAACAGACTTTGAGAGTGCTTTTGACCTGTAAAAATTAACTTCTAATGGTCAGAGTCATGGGACAGGTGAAGCCACAGGGCTGCTTAAACACATTTTAATAGGCAGCTTACATTCTTTATGTATTCTGGTTCCTTATCAGAAGAATTTCTTATGCTAGTGCTCAAATTTGGCTATGAAATTTGTGCAGGTGATTTTGTTGTTGGTAGTAAACCAGTGGATACTATTTCATGTAAGAAATGCAGAAAATTGTATTGTTTATTTCCCCTCACCCCCTGTTCCTCACACCAAAAAGTAATGCCACACAGCAGTTTCTGGTGGAAGGGGATATTTGTTGTAATTGGGATAATCCATTTGAAGGATTCCAATAAAATGTTGATGTTAGAAATACGTGATCTCAATATCAGCCAGTAAATTACAATTCTATTAAAGAGTTTAGTGGGGAGATGAGACCATATATACCTATAAAACAGTAATATTTTGCAAAATCATAGAAGTGTGCAGAGTAAAAAGCAGGTGAGGAGAGCAATATATATAATGAAATTGAAGGAAATGTTATCAGGCATTGAAAAGCAAGTAATGAAACTCTCAAGGCAGAGCATAATTTACAAATTTAAAAACTGAAAGCTTTGGGCAAAATCATTGCTAATGTAATTCCAGACGAAGAAGGCTTTCCACGTTTCAGTTCGTAGATGATCATTCCTCATGCTAGGCACTGTTGTCAACAGTTCTAGAAATAGATTAGTGTTATTAACAATTAATAATTTTCTGTAAACATATTTTTGTCTCAGTATGGCTTAAGTTAAAGAAATACTTGAGCTGGTTTATACATAGCAAATACTTCTTTCTAATGCAAAACGTAAATTTTATCAAGGGTTGGATTTCACTGTGTGTTTATATGATCACTGAAGATGGACACTGCGGCATAAAGCATTTTAGTCCCAAACCTTCTCCAGCTGTAAGTATCTCTAGGGCATGTGCATATTCAGATCCATTATTATGCCAAAATAGGCAAAGCTAGAGCAGGTTGTCAGTTCTCGTCAGCTATCTGGATGAGTTGAAGCTTCTTTTCTAGTGATTTGAGGAACACTCTCAGTAGTCTCAACCTTCAGACTTGTTTCCTATTTGTTTGGGTTCCCTACTCTATTATGTTTCTTTTCCACTTCACTCTCCCCTCTCTTTTTTATTTCCTTCTTATGGTTCTTCTGGCCAAATCATCAGACATCAAATCTACACCTCATTTCTAGTTACAAGGTCTAATCTAGGTCTCCAGTGGTGCTACTCATATTGTCCTTTTTTGAGTATAGTATTGATTTTCAGATCTGAAAGATCTAAAAAGAATGCCAGGGAAAATAGATTCCTTAATAAATTCTGAAATCTTGAATCACCGGTATATCCAACATTAAAGGAATCTGTCTTGAAATAATCTCTTGAGAAAAGGAAAGCAGTTGTAACAGATGATGAATCAAGCAGTCATTGTAGAGGAGCATCCACACTGAGAGATCTCAGAGAGATCCCACCTGCCTCAAAATGAACATCCTGGGAAGCTACCTCAACAGCCACCGGGGCTGATTATAGCCACTCTGGATTTAGTGGCTTCAAGGATTTGCCTTCTTCAAGATCATTTGAAGCACTCAAGATGTCCTGTTGAATCTAGAATTTTGTGTTGTTCTTTTTTGTTGAAGAGATATCTAGTCACGTTAGGTCTAGTTAGGTTAGACCTTATACCATGCATCACATATGATTCCAGAAGCTGTGGCTTGAGCCTGGTTAGAACTGCATCTGAGTGTGTTAGTTTTGTGTTATCTTCGTGCAAGATCTACTGTTGAAGACATTGCCTTTCTTGCCTACAGGAAAGTCTTTTGGAAAATGACGGGGCTCAGTTTAGATGCTTTTCAGAGACACCTAAGATACATGCCAGTATCTTAGGGATACAGAATTTAAGGAATGCATGCTGAGCATTCATCCGTGTAGTAGACAGTCACATAATGTTAGGATATTAATAAATTGCACCCTCATAACTTATTTAATAACAGGAAGAGTACACAGGTGCTCCTTTCTGTCAGGAAGCAGTCAGCCTGTGAAACTGCAACATTTGATATCTGATCCACGGAAATCCCCAAAGACTTGAAAACCTCAGCAGATTCTGACATCAGGTGAAACGATCTAGTGATAATTGGGCTTTTTAGTTGATTTCTAGTTGCCTCCTTTACCTTGGACTCTGTCAGCAGGACAGGCAGCAACTTGGTTCATATAATTCTGCTGCCAGTATCTATTTGTACTGGTCTTATGTATTACATCTAAACTTTATGTTTCTCCATCTCATTGTCTAGGTTTGGCTGTCCCAGATTGAAGATGCACTTAAAAAGAGATTAGATATGCAATAAAAATAAAACTTTTACTGGGTATGTCTGTGGGATAAATGGTGTCTGGAATCCTAGCACAGAATGTGGTCAAATCTTATTTTCCATTGGCAGTTCTGGCATAGAAAGAAGATAAACTTAAAATAATTTAACTATTTTCAGCAATTCATATTAGGCTGATTATTTTGTAGCTTTGAAATCCCACCCTTAGTAAAGAAAACACCCTTTGGCTTCCCTGGGATCATGTGGAACAGCTCTGATTATCTTGGAATAAAGGTACACTTGGACAATTTGAAAACATCTAACATACTTTAGTGTCTCATCTGTGTTTTCTTTAGCTATGATATCCTTTTTTTGGATTGATAACTGTAAGCGTGTTGACTGTGTGATTGCACAAGGTGTCTTTTTTGCATCACTTTTCACTAAAAGCACTTGAGCACTTCACTTTTTTCTGCTTTGGCAGCTTTTATTTTCTATTGAATAGAGACCTAGGACTTTCTTTGGTCTTTCTTTTACTACTAATGTAACTGTATTAGAGAATGATTTTTTTGTTGTCCCTTGAGTCGCTTACTTTGTGCCTTGGCCCCTTTGATCTTACTACTATATATTTGTTCTTTTGTACTTGAATCCTTAGAAATCTCACATAGCTCCTACACACTTCATTTTCATTTTATTTTTGAGTATAATTTTGAGAATCTTGTCTTGTAATCTAACTAATAGTTTCTAACTAATGTTCTGACCAAATGATGCTACTAATTTGTGCTTGTGCCCATCATATTTTAGGAGACTGTCAGCTCTCTTTAAACTGTCATTGCATTAAGCTAAGATCATGTGAGACACTTCTTTCACTCAGCTAAATATTAATAAAAAATATTACTGCAATTAGAATGCTTTTACATATAGCAGCATATCTTGCCACTGCTTTGCTATTTGCATTTCATAAATCACTGCTGACACACTGCAGCTTTGCTGCTGTATTTTTTGTTTATATATTGTTTCTCTATCTCAGTAGAACAGCTACAGCACTTCATGAATATACATTAAATGACTTACTGTGGAGACTGTCAGCTGCTTCAGCTTCAGAAAAAAGCTGAAATTCATTTGGCTCATTTATAATTTTCTTCTTTACATCAGGTTTTGCTTTCTTTTACTCATTATCCCTGGAACATTTGCATAATGTCTTTATTTGCTAAAAGAGTTTTTCTAGCCCACTTGTTCTGCCCCTTAATGTAAAGAAATACATTGGTATATACTTCAACCATCTGATTTTTTTTTTAATTGTAATTCTGCTAACTCTTTTTCTATAAAGTCATTTTTTAGAATATCAGTAATGAATTCTTCATTTACTTAAAGGAAATAAAGTAGATTCAAGGAACGACTTAGCTGCTTACTGATTAATCATTTCTTATATCAGATGAGTGATGTTGCTTTCTAGGTACCAGGTCCTGAGTCTGTGATAGCACAAGATGCCTCCCTTAAGAAGTCAAAGATATTCTGAGCAGCAAAAGATAGAGGGTGATTTAGAAGCACAAGCCTGCAAAAGACAATGTTATATGTCAGGAGTCGGACTGAAACACAGAACTTACTTTTTTCTTGAATCAACATTAAAAAAAAAAAAAAAAAAAAAAGGTTATTGATCCAGAAAAACTGTAGGGGAAAAACTACTACTCCAGAGAGTCCGTTGGAGAACTTTCTATTTAATGAGATGGATAATGAACCAACTACTTGGAGAAATAATCCTAAAGTCACTGGAATGGTTGCTTATAGAAAGGAGAAAAATAATTTGTTCATGAATGATGAAATCATGAGAAAATGTACAAAGTTTAAAAGTTTTTGTGGGTTTTAAGAATAATTTAGGAACACAGGTGTTCCTGAGAAGATTTTTTTAATTTCTGAGTTTTTTTTTCCAGTTATTTGAAAGTATCATATTGGCTCTATGAATGAGAGGAAAAAAATAGCTGGCTTTAGGAACTCCTGCAGCACTAGTTTTTTTTTTTTGATAACAAGCAGTTCTTTCTATAGTAGTATTAATCCTAATTAGTATGAATCCTAAGTCTTTCTATACTGGTAGCAGCTGTGTCACCTGCATTTATTTTGTATATAGTTATATTCTTTCTGATGTTTGCTCTTTAGGTAATGATTCTGACGTTGACCTTGACAGGAAGGAAGACGAGCGAGAAAAACCTGCAAAGAAGCCCAGAGTTCAGAAAGCAGAGAAAACTCTACCAACTAAGGAGGCTGAGCAGGTTTCAGGAGCTAAAAATCCTATTATAAGTGTGGTTTTGACAGCCCATGAAGCTATTCCAGGTAATCAGAATCTTCCATTATATAAGGAAATCAGATTTTAATCATGGTGACACTATTTAAGGTGTCCTTATTTTAAAACTGACAACTGCTCAAGACATTTGTTATCTGAAAAATATTTAGTTTAATTTGGTCATCTTTTATATAAATTTCTGCATCTGGCAGCTGTGCATCATTTTAGAACTACCATTATATTTCTTCATTGATGTGGCAAAGGTTTGGAAAGGACTGTGTGGTATGTATCTCCATTAACATTAATTATGTTTAGTCTGTGAATGGTTTAAAGTAGAAACGGAAAAATCAGTGACCAAGGAAAGGGAAAGTGATTTTTTTAATATCATTGTTTATTTCAGTTCTGGGTAAATGTTTATCGTAACTGTAAATCTGATTACAAAAATGCAAAGAGCTTAGTGCAGTTTGTATGGTAATGTAATAGTGGTACTATTCTCTATTAAACTACTAGGATTATAGTTTGACAGAGAATGCTTGGCCATACAAATGAATGTATAAAATATTTCTGGAAATCACATAAGGTTTCTATGCATTAATTAAAAGATTTTTCATTTAAAGATTTCTCTCGTGTCTTTTCATGAAAGGCTTTTGAAACAATTTACACCATTGCTTTTAAAGCTAGGCCTGTATTTGTTTATATAAAATAGCATTGTATCTAGATGAAAAAAAATCCCTTTTTAATGGTATCTTGCGTCTTTTTTAGCTTTATAGTCTTTACTATTCTCCTCTTTATTATTGCGAACATTTCTGAATAGTTGTTTTTCTTGCAAATTGCGGACTGACTAGACTGCATGTTTAGTCTTATTGTTATGGGTTGGAAGCTGTCTGAGTTTACTGTGTTTTCTTCAATATCCTTTGATACTGAGATCCGTGGTACCCTTGGGCTTCGTTTTTTAAAACGTGTCCTTACTCGTGAAGATAGTAGAGGAAACTGGATGAACTGAGCTAATCCTGCGTGCTCAGGAGAAAATAAATGACAGCATCAAATCTATTGTTTGAGAAACATAATCTAAGAGCTTGGACTTCAAATTCTCAGCTGTTAAAAAGTTGCTCTTGCAGTATTGTGAATATGGGGGAATGTGGGAGAGGGAAGAAGTGAAAAAGAAATTTTTTACTGTTATCCGTGGGCTGCTTTGCAGCTACTGAAACCTGACATCAAAGTTGCTTTATCTTGTTATCTTGCGTGCTCGTTTCTCTCGTATGACTGTGACTCCAGACTTTTTCCTAGCTGTTGAAAAACACTCTTTTTCCCTACTGTGTCTCCCAACTCTTTTGTTCCTTTCTCACAATGTTCAGCTTCTGCACCCATTCTGCTCTAGTTGCACTGCCCTGCCTGAGCATCCGTCCAAAAGCCTCCACTTCTCTGGGCAAAAGGCAAGATGTGGTGGAGGGCTAGGGGGCTGATATGGGTACTGATTTATAGGCTTCTACATTTGCCCTTACTCAGGAATTTCACTAGGATTAGAATTTAGGTTGTACTTCTATCCAGGTACATCTGAATCTCAGAAATCTTAGGAAGGTTGTAAAATTTCTTTTTCTTTGACATCTCTACCTGTCTGTCAAAGAGCAGGACAATTTTCAAGAAGGAAAGACACAGCAGACAGAACTATCAGAGTCTCATTTTCTTAGGAAACCAGCCTAGAGATGAACAAAAAACATAATAAATACAGTCAAGAAAGTGTAGTAAGTGTGTGATGAGGGAGAGGAATTGAAGAAAAAGAGAGATAACTGCATTCACTATCTAGCAAACACTTTTCCTCAGACAACAATTTCTTTATAGATATGCTTTCTGAATGACTTGGAAGGTTAAAACAACCTGCTTCCGCTTCAAAGATATGTGTGGATAACCTGTGTTATATACAAAAGCCTTTGATAAAATGAATAATTATTATTAGTTGTTATTAATAATATATTTAGCTTGTTTACAGCAATGACTTTTATATAGATTCTAGCTGTTAATTTCATGTTAATAAGAATAGTAATCCTTAAGTAAATGAGAGGGCCTTCAAACATTGCTTCAGTTTCATATTTTACTGTACCCCCCCTTCAGTTTATTATCTTTCTGCAGGAATTAGCATTCTATAGCCACCTGCTGTCTAGACTTAAACATGTGTATAAACACCTGTTTCGATATATAGTGCAATAAAATCTTGTTGAAGGTGTCACAGTCATTCTATCCATTAGGAAAATAGAGAAGCTTTTAAGAAATTTTGGGGTTTTATCCACAGTATAGGAATTAATTGTGCTCAGACAATGATTTTTGTTTTCCTTTCTTTTATGTGCTTTCAGGAGTAGCATATTATCTCTTTGCTGTAATTTCAGTGTTCATTACTTGGGTTTGGGAGACTGCTTAGCATCATAAGTACAATAGATACTGGCTAAATCAAGCTCTTCAAAATCTCTTTGAACAAACAGATCAGTTACTTCTTTCTGAGAAGAAACTATCAGACAAGACTAATTTCACCCCACCTCTTCTAGAATATTTTGGTGAAGGTACATGAAAGGTAATAAATTTACACCTTTAGAAATCAGAAAGTTCATATCAGCCCATAGAGTAAGTACAGTTTAAATAATAGTGGTAGCAGCTCTTCTCTGCAGTCATAGCTAGAGAGACCCGACTCCCGTAAAGAGAGGGTGAATGTTGTCTTCACGAACACTTATTCCTTGTATGTGCTTGAAGGGAGCACAGTTTGCTGTTAACATCCCAATTAAGAGTGGAAGTGAAATAGTACAATTATATGCACATCTAAAAATACTTGATTTTGAATGACAAATATTTTTCTTTGTAACCCACTTTCAAGGACTAACAAAGAAACTCAGTGTCAGATATTCAGTCTTCTGTTTTTATTTATTTATTATGTATTTTATTTTCTATGTTTCAATTCTCTGTTTTTATGAAGGCTTCTCAAAATGACTCCCTCCAAAGTCTCTGGCCACAAATTCCTACTCCCTGGACATCATGCATATTTGTGCATTTGGAGGGTAAATTAAAAAAAAATGGAAAAAAAAAGAAATGAAAGAAAATGAATTAATTGTGGGAGAGGAAAAATGGTTCAGACTGTAGCCCAATCCCTTCTCTGATCTACATCTGCATAAATCCTCGTGTTGCTACCAAGGTATCAAGAACATATACCTGGGAGGATGGCTAGACAAAAAAAAAGGAGCTAATTTGTCTATTTAACACAGCTGTGGAATTGCAACATAAAATTTAAGCTCTTACCTCAGAGTATGAGCCCGTATTTGTATTGCCATAGTCTCAAATAGGACATGGTTTGATTTAGCTAAACCAATCCAATAATCAACTATGTTGAAGGAATAGTAATCTTTGTCCTACTGTATTCAATCTGTGTTTGTATTTGTCTTTATTTTAAATATGTTTTATTTCATAGTGAAGTAAGCTGAAGGAAAATTAAAAGCTTTTGCTGCTGTGTTGTCACTGTGTAAGATTTTTGGGGAAGAGAAGATATAGTTTGCACGGGAAGGGCTTATGGTGGGGTTAGTTTCTGTTAGTCTCAGTTTCAGAATCGTCTTGGCGAGGGTTGCCTGCACTTGAAGCACATTGCACAAGGTATTGTAGAAGCTGAGAAAATAAACATGTTCAAAAAAGGGATTGTAAGAAATGGATGTTCAGTTCATACCAAGCCCTAAATCAATAGGGTTTTTTAAATCTTCGCAAATAGTGTAGCTGTAATTTACAGGTCAATTTAGCCAAATCAATTGTCCCCAAAGGTAACTAGCAGCATCTCGGTATGAAAGAAATGGAAACTTATTATTTAAAGCTTCCCAGCTTCTGACAGCTATTGAGCTGGTGGATGCATCTGGATCATTTTTTTTTTAATACCCAGCTATTAATTTGTCTAATCCCTTCCTGAATGCATTTATATTTTCAGTCCCTGTAACATCCTGCAGTAATTGTTCCATAATTTAACTATACACTGTGTGAAAGTGTATATTCTTTTAAACCTCCTGCCTGCTTATTTCTTTGAACTGTTCCTTGTTCATGGTTTATGAGGACAGAATGATTATTCACATGCTTTCATGGTGTTCCTAATTTTAGAGGTCTTTGTCATGTTCCTCTTTCAGTTAGCTGAGGCTGACTAAAGCTGAAGGTCCCTGAGCTTGTTTGTCCATTTTTTTTTCCAAGGGAAATACTTCTATTTTTATTTATGTTAACCCTTTTCTCAGTTATTTTTCTATATCCTTTTTGTCTGTATTTTGTCTGTATCCTTGTCTGTATTTTCTATGTTGCAGGAGGTTAATGGAATTTGGATACTGGCCTAAAGATGTCTTCTTGTTTCTGACCCTTTCCAATTCCTTCCTTTCTCTTAGCCCTCTGATTGTTGATGAGTTTTGGTTTTGGCCAAATTACTTTTCTCAGGGATAGATAATAAGAGATTAGAGACTTTTACTGACTTTGAGCCAGAGATGAAGCATACTGGGTGACAGATACCTATAGAAGCTGCTCTCACAAAATATCAAGAGGAACTCAAATCTTGTTATCCCTAAATCAGACTTATTTGGAGCTGAGAATTTTGACAGAAGAGGAGAAAGCAAAAGACATAGTAAAGCAAAGTCCATTCCAAGTTTAAAATAAAGATGTAAGTCAGCTAGAGGAGGGGGTTTCAGAGGGGGTATTTTCCCCTTAGTATTTGTATACTCTAACTTCATGCAATGATTTTATAGGGAGACAGTCAGGCAAACTTTTATCTTCCTTGATAGAATGTTTTGATGGTGTTTTTAATGACCAATGAGGCTTAGTAGCTGTTTGCCGCCTCCTTACACTTTTCCATAGGCATTTAGAGACAGCAGGACATTCTCCTGGGATGGGGGGCAGGTGGGTTTACTACTTATTAGGTTGTCTAGAGCCTAAAAAATAAATTTCTTCTTTCCTGGGCAAATGTTTTAGTCATTAGACTGTGATACAGGAGTGATTACTGCAGCCGCTGCTCACTTGGGAGCCCATTCTCAGGCAGCATCCCAAGTGGATGGAGGGGTTGTTTCCTAATGCAGGAACTATCTTCCCAGCATAGGAAGTGACCATCTAACAGGATGCTGCTGAAAGGCAGTTTTACTTTGGACTGAATTCCTTCCATGGTGTGATTTTGTGGCCACTACAGATTGTAATTTCAGAAGCTTCATGTTAATACTGCTTATATTTTGTAAAAATCGTCTCCAAAAACATGATGTTTGAATAGAACAGTAATGATCTTAACTTCATCCTACTGTAAAAATAAAAATTGATACATCCTTTGGATCTCTCTGTCTTCAGGTGTTCCATTTTATAGGTAACTATATGTGAATAAAATGGTGAGACTCCACTAGACTTAAAAATTCTTTGACTGGCTTGTGCTTTCTAAACTCTTGTTTATGCCTGTTTTTCACATTTCTTTGATTCTTATTGTATAATCCTTCCTCTGTCAAAAAATGTGTTCTACCACCTTTTTTTTTTCCCTCAACTTTTAATCAGGTGAATTGAAAAGGGATCAGATAGGAAAAGAAAATAAGGAGAAACTTTCTAAACTAACTTTTCCTGAACTTATTAACTTCAATATTTAAATCAAAGATGTCTTAATGTGCAGTGTTACTTGCTGCTTTGTACCCAGTATGTTGTAGAACAGTCTTTAATTAAAGGTCTTGTAATAGTTCTCTCTAAGATGGAAGGATGCTCATCTGCTACCACATGTTTGGTATCTTGTTTTCTGTTTGTTATCCAATGTATGGTTCGTCATTTGCTATCCATGGATAGGTATCAGCCTTGAAAGCAAAATTTCAGTTTTCTTCAGAGTTTTTCTGTACTCGTTCTTAATATAATATAACAATTTCACAAATTAAATATGTGTGTGTGTATATATATGTAAATTTATGAAGATAAAGGCATTTCCATTTAATGCATAACTTCAATTACAGATGGACTAAGAAAGTAAAAAGTAGGGAGATCAATCAATATAAGATACTTTCTTTGAAATGCTTAAGATTTTCATGATTTTTCAGTGTAAATTAACATTTATATGAATTTTCATTCACTTCAGTGGTAACTGTGGATGCCTAGTATTTCTGCAGATGAAACTTGAAGGTTGTCTGCCAGCTGTGCAGAAGATACAGAACTCCTATTAGTTATCACATCTCCAAATTTGCTCCATTTAACATGAAATCTCTGTGGGGTAGAATCTGATCTTTCTGCATCCAGTGGAGCTCCTTTAATGGAGTAAGTGCTAAAAGAGACAGAGAGGTGCACTTGGAGCACACACATTTGTTCTGAGGGTTGATGGCAATAAAATATTTACTCAAATAAAAGATTTCCTAACTTCTAAATGTGGACTAAGCAGAGATTTTTTTTTTTTTTTTTTACCATCCAACTTTATTTGTGGAACTGATTAAACAGGTTGACTGAGGCTTTTCAGAAAATGTTGTCCAAGGCAGAAATGGAAAATTAAAATTTAAATTTTGTTTTGAAATGCTAATATTTTTTAAAGATACAAGTACTTGAAAATAGGCTATTATGACACTAGGTATCAAGCAGCTTTAGTAATCCACAAAACCAGCAGTCCTATCTTATGCAAGCAGTGTACATCCTGTATGTCTGACAGAAGTGTATTTGTTTTGTGCAGGAGAATTGAAAAATAGAAAATAAAAATAGTTGAGCTAATAATTACAGAGTTAATAGATTGTTTACACTCTGTTTTAGACAACATACATTTTAATAATGTCACTTATATTGTACTTTTTGTCTTTCCTCCTAGGAGCCACTAAAATAGTCCCTGTTGAGGCTACTCCTCAAGAAAGTGAACCCAAAACTCCAGAGACAACAGTTCAAGACTCTTCACAACGGAGAGGGTATCAAGAATATGCCATTCAGCAAACCCCATATGAACAGGCCATGAAATCAAGCAGGTAGTTTTGAGTTGTTTATATTCATGGTCACGCAGAAAATGAGTGAAATGCTTCCCTATCCATCTTCTTAGAAATGAAATAATCTTTTTTTCTTTTGATAAAAAAAAAAAAAAGCAAAAGGTAATCCATGCATCATTTGTAGAATTTTGAAAACCTGTGGTGGGCATTTTTTAAAATAAAAAAGAAAAATAAACATTACTGTTCATTATGACTGTGTAGGAAACTTTTGCTATTTTTATATCAATACTGTAAATATAACTGGTTTGGTTTCTTTTTAGGTTAGGCCCAACTCAGCTGAAGATCTTTACATGCGAATACTGTAACAAGGTGTTCAAATTTAAACACTCCCTCCAAGCACACTTGAGGATTCATACAAACGAAAAGCCTTACAAGTGTTCTTACTGTAGCTACGCCAGTGCAATCAAAGCCAACCTCAATGTTCACATGCGGAAACACACGGGGGAGAAGTTCAGCTGCGACTATTGCACATTCACTTGTCTCAGCAAAGGCCACCTCAAAGTCCACATTGAAAGAGTTCACAAGAAAATTAAGCAGCATTGTCGCTTCTGCAAAAAAAAGTACTCGGATGTGAAAAATTTAATCAAGCATATCAAGGAAACACATGATCTTCAAGACAAAAAAGTGAAAGATGTTTTTGATGAGCTTCGTTTGATGACACGAGAGGGCAAGAGGCAGCTGCTTTATGATTGCCATATTTGTGAGCGCAAATTCAAAAATGAACTGGATCGAGACCGCCACATGCTTGTTCATGGTGATGAACGGCCCTTTGCCTGCGAGCTCTGTGGTCATGGAGCCACTAAGTATCAAGCTCTTGAACTTCATGTTCGCAAACATCCTTTTGTATACGTGTGTTCTGTCTGCTTGAAGAAATTTGTTAGTTCTGTGAGACTCCGTGCTCACATCAGAGATGCGCATGTGGATTTGCCAGAGAATTCTGTTTTTAACAGTTCTATCAATCAGAGTTTCTGCTTGCTTGAGCCAGGAGGGGATATCCAGCCAGAAGCACTTGGTGAACAGCCAGCACAAAGTGCAGATGAATTGAGTATCATGAGTACTGATGCTATTAACATACCCAAACCATCTGCTTGTGAATCAAAGGCTGCTGAGGTAAACTATAATGGTCAGCATAATGGTGACTTAAAAGGCAATATAGACCCTTCCTTAGAAACTGAAAATTCTCTGGCAGAGAATGTTGCAGAGCCACTAAGTCAGACATCAACAGACACAGCAGCCCCAAGCACTCAGTCCTGTGTAACATCGGATTGCTCTGGGATGAAAAATGGTACCTCTGCTCCCAGTGAGTTAAAAGTTTCTTCTGAAAATGAAGAAGTTGTTAATCACTGCAGTTCTGTGAATATTCAGGGTGAGGAAATCCAACTTTTGTTGTTGGAAGACAAAAATGTAAATCAAAATCAGGACAGCACAATCGCTGAGAACCTTTCTGAAGAGAAAATACAATCTCTTTCCCCTAATGAATCAGAAACAAATAAGTCATCAAATCAAAATTCAACAGAAGTCCCTCAACCTCTGCCAGCACCAGATTCTGATGCAGCCAGCAGTTCACAGACCGACTCTGCTAACCCAGTTTCAACAAATAATCAGAGTGGAGCTGTTGCCTTTATGCAGATCTTGGAGAGCTTGCAGAAGAGGCAAATGAGCACAGAGTTGTGTGAGAGGATAAGGAAGGTTTATGGAGACTTGGAATGTGAATATTGTGGTAAGGAGCAATTGAATTGTATTTGTTATTTATTTTAAATGCTGTATAGTAGCCCATCTTTTTCAAGATCCGGTTTATAGCTTTTGATAGTTTATATATACTGTAGTAATAATTCTGTAGCTTAAGGTGGATTGTGGGGTCCAACTAGATTTAGTTTGGGCCATATAAACAGTGTGAATGAACTCAGATCTCCTCAAGAAAGTGCTAGGGGAATGCAGCATAGCAAAGCTTTGTGAGAGTCAGTTCTCTGTTGATATGAAATTTGGTGAAATGTTCTGCTAACTGCAGAAAAATGGCTTCTTTCTGTCAACCAGACTCTTCCCCACCTCATTACTTTCCCTGAGGCCCAAGCAGAACAGACATAAGCACGCATGTTGTGCTTTTGTCAGCCCATGTTTTCAGTGTTTAAACTTTGTATTGACTTCATACGGAATTAAGAATCTGCCCTTTTTTAATGTAAAATGTAAGGATGTATAAATAATATACATTCTGTGCATTATATTTGTATGCTGACATGTTTTTGTAACTTATTTTTAATCATGTTATGAGAGATGGAAAACTTCATTGTGTGATGTCAGATTAAAACTATTTTGATTTTAATTGTTTTTTGAACTAGAAAATAAGAATACACCTTTCAGTTCTAGCTGAAACTTTTTGTGCATATGTAACTTGAAGTACAGTTTTGGCTTCAATTTGCAGTCTTCATTCTTGAAAAGAGACCAGAATCAAAGTTAAAAAAAAGTCATTTTTTAAAAAATACCATAGCATTGTATTTGTATAATAGATTAATTTTTAGTTAGTTTTTCTTTTTGGTGGTCTTATGCCAGAACAGCCTTTAGGAGGAAATGATGAGAAAGGACGTGACAAAAGAAAGATTTCTGGCAATCTCTTTTAGGATACAATTGCATTATTATTCTTTGTTTAGAATAAGAGCTTTAAAAGACATCATTTTGGGGAACAATTTTGTGATACATCTGATATTAAAGATACCATTAGGCTGTTTCAGGACTTTTGACACAGTCTTTTTAGACAAAAGTGTTTGTTTGTTTTTTTTCCCTAAATATATTTTCATTAGTGAAGGGTCTTTAGAACAATTTGTTATTAAACACAAAAGGTACAGGACTCAAAGACTGTGATATTTTTCCTAACATAAAGTTAGGTGTATATTAGAATTTTCATTATGTCTGTTTTTAAACTGATCTTTAGAATTTACTTGTTTTCATGTCTGACTTTGTTTTTAGGCAAGTTGTTTTGGTACCAAGTGCATTATGACATGCATGTGCGTACACACACTCGAGAACATTTGTATTACTGCTCCCAGTGCAGTTATTCCTCAATCACCAAGAACTGCCTTAAGCGTCACGTCATTCAGAAGCACAGCAGCATTTTGCTGAAATGTCCCACAGAACATTGTGACTACTCTACTCCAGATAAATACAAGCTCCAGGCACATCTTAAAGTTCACACTGAACTGGTAAGTAATAAACAAAATAGCATGTTTATCTAAATTTAGTGTCATTACCGTGATGTTTGGAGTCATATAATATTTGGAGACATAGGTCATGCTTTTGAATAAAGCTGGAATAATAATGAGGTTCATGTACATGGTGTTGATTTTCGCAGCGATTTGTGACAGTGTCACTGAATGAATCAAATCACATTATGTGCACCTCTCAGTCAGCATTATGAAGTTTCTGTTGGAACTTTTTGTAATTGATACAAATCCCATAAGCCTTTTTTTGTCAGTGCTGTGTGCATACCTCTGTGCAAGAAAACTCGTAGGGGTTTCTGTTACTGTACATCTGCACTCGTGTTTTTTCTTGGACTCTCTGGGTTTTGAGAGAGTAAAATGGAGCCTGGTACTATTGCTTTACTTCTCGGAGCTGAATTCCCTTCCTTCTTAAAGAGGTATTCTGTTGAGATGAAAATTTGCTTGTCTCTTCGTTAATTGGATAATCGAATGCCCATCTCAATTGCTTCTCTTGTCAAAGCCAAATCAGGTCTACTCCTTCAGTGTCCTTCATATTTTATTTGTCACTGTGTAAGGGGCTGTATCCTTGACTGGACTCTTTCTACAAGGCACTGCTCTGCATCCTCTCTGCATGTAGAACATATAATACATATGACAAGGACATGAGAAAGCAACATCTGAACTCACCCACAGTACTGTGATAAATATTGACGTTACACTCCCTTTTACTAATGAAATGTGTTGTTTTAATTAAGGATATATTATTTCTTTCCTCAGATAAGGACAATTTCAGCATCATTACTTTAAAGAGCTGTTAAACGTACAGTACTTACTGTTTTTAAGTCTCTCTTTTTTTCAGCTGGGGGTAGGCTCTTGGCCAATATTTCCAACAGTTAGAGTTACTTCAAAGGGATTTGGAACGGAACATTTCACCTCCTACTCTTTTTGAGTGCTAGCTCTCTGTAACTGCAGGGCAGCTTTTAAGGAAATAGCAGGTGACACAAAAGGGATATGTTTGAATTCCACACCAAATACTATGGACATTTTAAACAAAATCTGGATTTGTTATGTATTCAGAAGGCTCACAGAACAGGCATACCTTTAGCTTGCTTTGGAATTTGTTAAGTTTATGATGTACATCTGATTGCAGAAAATCTCTATAAATGATATCTGGGATAACTTTAAAACAGAGCTGCCAACTAGGCCTCCTACCTGCATACATAAATACCTCTTTTTCAGGCATGGCGAATGTCCAGCAGCTCCCACCAGGATGCCCATTTTCTTGATATGGCCAAAAAACTTGTGAAAATGCATTTTGCATTCAAAAAGAATGTGACAGCAAGATCTTTGAGAATTATGCCTACTGATGCTTACTCTCAAAAATATTTTGAGCATTTAAATGTATCGAAAAATTAATGTATTAGAATTTACTTAGTAACTAAGCTTTGCAGTTTTCCTCGTGGTCTTTGTGCCCAATGCTTGATATATTTACTTACTGTATATGCCTTTAGTTAACAGGACACTCCTTCCAAAATACAATATTTAACAAACTATATACACATAAGTATGGAAAGCTATTTTAATGCTAATTTTAGTTTGCAAAACCAATACTTAGTAAATGATAGAATTAAAACTTCCCCAGTATGAAAATCTCAGTTCAGTTATTTGAGCAAATGCGTGCAGCAGTCTCTTATTCAGTTGTTGCTTTTTGCTTTTTAACTGGATCCCTGCCTTATATCGTGTACAGGATGAATGCTACCATTGAAAAGCAGCTTTCTATTTTTACTGTTAATACCCATCAGGCATTGTACAGCCTCCCATCTTATTATCTACACACAATTCAAATGGTGCACTGAATTTGGTGCACTCATTTCCTAGGGAATGGTGTAAGAGAAAGTCTATGTCCTGCTCATTGCTACCGTGTTTTCCACACATCTTCGTAATAGAGGATTTTTATTTCTGAAATCTGAGAACTGAGACTCAGCTTGACTTAAGGGTTCTCCCCCCACCACCCCCACCCCATCTTCTCTAATTATTCGTGACTGTCTTTTACTTCCAAGGCTTGTGCAGTGGCTTCTGTCGTTTTTTTTTGGCATTATTTGAGCTCTGTAGAGAAATTTGAAACCTTGAAATGTGTAACACTTTGCTGTCATAGCACCTAAGGAAGGAAGTGGAGAGTTAATAGCGACCTTAGAAAAGTGAACAGAAGCAGAAAGGTATTACAGGTCTGCAGGTATTTTTAAGGACCTGATTCAAAAAGAAAGTTAAGCACTGTAATTTATAGTAATGAATAGATTAGTGTTAAAAATTAGGAACCAGGAGTGAAACTAAGCATTGGTCATGTTAGGTGTACCAATTTTGTTTGCAACAATCCCCAAAATGAGTTTTACAGTAGTCAGTAGGCTGAATGGATGAATGTTGGAGAGAGGTTTGTGTAAATGTCAAAGAAAATTTGTGTCTGAAATTCTTTTAAATCTCTATATATGCTTTATTTTCCAAGATAAGCACCTCTGTAAAAGTAAGCTGGGATACAACACTGCAGATTGCTCTCAGCTGACGTGTTTATGAATGCAAATGATTCTTGGCTTTGGAAAGATGCTTAGAAATGTATTATGACATTATCCTTTTGTGTAATAAAGTAGTTAGAACATTTAGCAGAAAGCAAGGTGCTTGAGCTCTGGTTGCTCACTTGTCACTTGTCTACCTGTGGTCCTTTTGTAATAAACTCCCCCAAAATAGTATGATGATTATGGTGAGCAGTTCCAGCCTTCCTCCTGGAATGTAGGTACAGAAGCCTAATTCCATTCCCACTAGTGTTATTATTAACATTTTTGTTGGTTTTATTAGGTGCAGTAGCAGGCGCTGGCTCTGCATTTCTCTGGGAAATAATCTTTTACAAATTTTACAATTTTAGGAATTAGTATTAATTGAGTCATGGGAACTTTTGCATGGGAAATTCTCTTAGTCAAGGGCAGATAGGAGAGAGTGTGATTTAGCTTAGCCCTTAAAACAGGATGGGGCTGCAGTAGTATGTCCGACAGCAGCTTCCTTTTAGAGAAGACCTAGAGCTATAATTGCAGGGAGCCTGTCCAATAGGTTGAAATGCACTGGCAGATGCTTGAGTTTTTGCTACTTGCAAGTTTTTGCTACTATGGCAGGTTTTATCTGTCGTTATTGATTGTAAGTATTTCTTGATATGGAGGAAAACACATTGTATCAGCTATGGAAGCAAAAGTACCATTTTACTTTTCGCAGTGTTTTGGCTTGATCCCTCATAAAAATTACTATCTTGTTAGCTTAGGCATTTTCTGTAATTTATTACTTTTTTGAGCATTAATTTCTGTATGATGTCCTGTTATTTCTTCCTTTTTATTTAGCTCATTTATTCTTTGTTTTGGTGCTTTGACATATATGTAAGTTAGCGCTTGTATAAAAACAGAGAAGTGCTGCTACATTTTCTTTAAAAGCTTCTGTAAAATCTTGTAGCTTTACATAGGTGTATAAAATACGTGAGGATCTGTATTTGTGAGGCTCTGTATTTGTATACACATATGTACATATGTGTGTGTGAGAAAGAGATGTAACAGACAAATATTTCAATATTTGGAAGGGACAAATATTTCAATATGGTAGGGAAGTGATGCCGCATGTCTCTCTTCCTAGTTCATTTTCTTTAAAGATACCTTCACTGGTGCAGTGTGTCTGAGGATCAGGAAGATAATCTGTTGATTTTTGTTTCACAATGAAGGAACAAAGATTATTTGTAAGATAGTATCATCCATTTGGCCTGACTACTCCACCAGCAATACAATTGGGAGGAGGCCAAGAACAGTCACATCTGGCAATGAGGGCCAGTATTTAGTAGAGCTTTGTTTTATTTTCTGCTCATGAAATAATATTGCTACTACTAAAAGAAGCAGAATGTATTGTTTATGTGATATTTGTCCAATTTGTGCAGAATAATATTTATTATGTCCAGAGATTGTTGAAGATCTTAATTTATACTATTAGTAAAATTGGTAACAAAGCAGTCCAAGAGTTCAACTTGTCTATTGTGAAATTAGCAGCAGAACTTCCATATAGATCATGAATTTATAATTTTATATATATGTATGTGTGTATGTGTGTGTGTATATATGTATAATTATATATATAATCCCGTATATAATCATATGCTTCCTATGCATATATTTATTTGCATATATTTATAGGATATTTGTATTGTCAGAGTGCCTCCTTATTGATAACTGCAGTATAGTAGCCTGCTAACATTTTTGATACTTTGCAGGGTATGTCATATTTGGTACTGTTTGATTTATTAAATTAACTTCATAGTGATCTGCCTTTTTAAGAGCTACGTATCCAGAGGCTTCTCATTTTTCTTTTCTTGACTGTATACTGGTACTTCTACTTATTGAATTATCTTGAAACAATTGCCTCAGAGAAACAAAATTTGCTACCGTATAATGTATGTATTGCAATATAGTTGATGCTTTCTTAGCACAATTTTAATTCATCTATATAAAGAGAAAGGCTTTGTGATTCCTGTTTGTACGGCCTTATTTGTAATGAAGCATAGCTTAGGGAAACAAGGAAATGCTGTGATAAATAGACTACTTACTGGAGAGGGTTTAAGAACATTTATGAATCTAATTCATGCCTCACCTATAGCATGTAAACTGTTCTTTCAGTCACAAAGCTAACTTTGTTTTAGAATTATTTTATCTTTAAGCTGCTTTTATTTTCCTAAGTTGGCTTATAGGGAGATTAAGCAATTCTCAGGAGGTGTGAACGTGACTTTGAAACTGAAGTAGCTGGTTGGATTGTGCAGCTATTCTCTAACAAGGGTAGATCCATCTCATGATGTTTTCCTTCTGTTTATGTCCTTCAAAGGAAAACACCCTCAAGGGCATTTAAAAGGCAGGTGTCCTTTACTGGGACGCTGTGCTCTGGGGACGGTGACCTTGTCGTGCTCTGAAATACTTAGTTTGCAGTAGATCAATTCTTGAAGGCTGTTTTTGAGGGTGATGGGGCTACTCTGAAGGACTAGCACCGTGTGAGCTCTTAGAGCCGCGGCACGAACATTCTTGAGCATTCAAAACTAATGACACAAGCTGCAAAAATCTGTGACACTCACCTGGAAGAACTGCCACAGGTTTGGCTTCAGCTGGCCATGCTCAGTGGGAGGACAGAGGTTGACAGATAAACTCTGAAAGCACTCTGTGCTCCTAAGTGCAGTCTTCTTGTTACTACAAAGAATACACATTTTAAAGACCCTGTACCATAGATCTTGACAGAGGTAACTTTCTAACTGCTGGAAGAAAGTGCTTTGGATTGTTTTTCAAAAAAAAAAATATTTTGGTCGTGTGGTAAAACATGATTTTAGTGTCTGTTCTACAGCCCTCAATGCATTTACTGATAATCTTGGTCTTTTCTGTCAGGCATGGGCTTGTGGCTTCACTTTCCCAAGGAGCAATACCAAGAATTTAAAATTGTCATAAGTTATCATTTTATATAAAGTAATGTTTGTGGAGTAGACTTTTTTCATATTTAACTTTATGAAATAACAAGGTGTCTTACTGCTTCAGGCACTTGGAGAAATACTCACTACAAAGTATGAAGAGAAAAGACTGTCAGCGCTCAGTTGCGTTTTAGCATTATACTGTATTTTTCATATAGTTTAAGCAGATTTCACAAAGCCCCTAAATGATAACTATACTTATACTTTTCTTATTCTTTTCAAACTACAAATGTGATACTTGAATTCAGCATTTAAAAGGAGCAAACAATGCTGTACAGTCTTACTAGACTTAATCTACTAATAATTATTCAGAAGTCCAAAATCATCGGATAAGATTTAGGAATTGTGGGTTATATATCTTTTGAGAGACACAGATTGATAGCTCTTTATTGGGAGTGCTCTGTCACCTCTCTTGAAGATCTCTTGCATAAATCTAGCAGGTATTGTTTAGTCTTCCTCCTTCACCTGATATTCTCAGTGATCAAAATGATGACACTGTTGTCTCCACCTTAGCAAGATACTCTAGTCACTCTCCAAAGAAGTTAATCCTTGAGAAGCCCCCATTCCCCAGTCCCTGGTATAGCTGCTCTCATTGGAACAAATGACTTAGATGTCAGTCAGAAATTTTCTTGTGCCCATTGCCATGTTAACAGCACAAGAGCCTCATATATCATATCCCACTGTCATGAAATTTAAATTTACTGTTACTTCAACACATGTGTTCCAAAGCTATGTTTATTTTTTCATTATTCAGAACAGCTTGGTGGTTGTTGGATGCTCACTTGGCTGCCATTAGAAATCGGTGCTAGTTCATGTGCTCCTACGGTTCTGCTGATCTGAGCAAACTCTCTGCTTCGTGATTTCCCACTGTAGGTTATGAAACCCATTCACAGAAATAAGACTGTGCAACCTAGGGGTTGTAGGTCTCCTGGTTCACCATCTTCCAGTGGTTCAAATACTTCCCACCTCAAAGTTTCACCTGGTAGGTGCTTCAGTGGATGGTTTTCTGTCTCAGATGTACGTGGTACTGAATGCAAATCCCTTTATGGTATTCAAATACGTAATGTTCCAAAACCTGTTTCCCATGATAATTCTTCAATTTGTGCTTTTGCATTAAGGCATGTGTTCATTTATAGTCATATAACTACCACATATAGTCTTCTTGTCCTATTTTCCTACTCAGAGATGCTCTTTGATCTCGGGTCAGGAATTGATAGAGTCCAGGATCCATAATCTCCTATCACCTCCCAATTTCTCTTTCATAACTCAGGAGTCAATCTCTTTTTGACACAGTAATCTTCCTTCTGTGTTCTTGACAGTGTTCTCTCTTCCCAAACTAATGAGTGAAATACCTGTTTTGTAGCATCATCTTGCAGTGATCTCCTGGTGTGTTAGGTGTCACATATCTCCCACCAAGCACTATGTTACCTGGTTATCTGCCTAGTTCAAAACTATCATCTTGGACTTTTTTGCTATGTCTGTTCTTTTGATAATCCATTCACTTGTTAATCCAGCCAATGCAGAGGTGATTAGATGACCCACTCATTATTTGTTTGAGCATCTTGTCTGTTGAATCAGCTTGTGCTTCTAAAAAGAGAAAACTTTTTATGTTAGATAATGAACAGTAAGCAATAATTTGAACTGGGTAATTTTCCAGTTAATGGAGAGCTGTCCTACGTTTTTATATGAAGTTAGGTGTGTCTCTAACAACACTAAAATCACAACAGAAATTACACTAAAATTCTATTTAGAAAAAAATGCATCAAAGCTCTCTAATTTGGCTTGCGTGATGGTATTAAATCTTATTTTAATATCAGTGACACTGCTATAAGCTGGGGAAGTCTGAAAGTTTTTATTTCAAGATAGTGAACAATACTACTAGTATAGAAAATCCTGAATATTTATCAAACATTTCAAAGATCTAGTTGATCTTTTGCTCAATTTCAGACCATTAAGTTGTATTATAAATACACCTACTGGTAAAGGGCCTCAGAATAATGAGATCTGACCTTATATGTTAGGAGGGCGGATTTATGAAATGAACTGCTATCAGATAACTTTTGTTACATGACTTTTGATTCCCTAGAGAGTTAGGTGGGAGATAATGCTTATATTTGTTATTCATTTTCTCATGTGCTGTAATTTGGGGCTCTACATTAATCAGGATTGTTAATGATGTGCTTAGATTACTTTCATATTGCTTGTTCATTTCTTTCATTATAAATGTCTTATCTTTTTTTCTTAAAAACAGAACCTTCAATTATAACTTTGTTGAGAACCATATTTTATTAAGTGCACAATGACTGTAGTGATTACACTGGTGGATTGATAACGTAATCTCTTTCTCTTCCTTAAGGACAAAAAGAGTTATTCCTGTCCTGTGTGTGAGAAGTCATTTTCTGAAGATAGACTTATAAAATCACACATCAAGACAAATCACCCTGGTAAGAAAAAAATCAGAGGAAAAAGATTCAGTCTATTGCCATAGAAGAAGAAAAGTTTAGAGTGAGAAATGTGATGTGATTATGTTCTGAAGAAAGAGAGAAGTCATATGTCTAATGTAACTGGCTTAGGTTAGGAATTTTATTAGGTTTGCAGATGTTAGAATTTAGAGTGAAAAAAATTATTGTTCCAATTGTGGAGTATATCTGATAATTATGCGAAGCCCTCTGTCGTCATCTGGCAAAGCACTTCATTTTTCCATCCAAAAGAGGATTTAGATGAATTCAAATTAAGCATTGGGAAGTCTGAAATTAAGCATTTAGGCGTCCTGTAAGAGCACATGAAACATCTCAGGAGAGCAATCAAGATTCCCATTGGCCATATATAAACTAAGAAAAATGACTTGATTGCACGTTATTTCATCTGTCACTACTTTGGCTTGACTGTAGATTCATCTGTGTGAATCACAGAGGTCCCCAGGCTGACCTGGTGTGTGCTTGGTTAGGGTGAGGCTGGGTTTTATGCCCAGGGCCCAGTAAAATCCAGGGTCTGTTCAGCCACTTGCAGGGTCAAAGTTATTAAACCTGCAGGGCTCTTAGTGAAGCCAGCTGTGATCTAGCATGGCCAGGATTAAGCTGATCCCTAGTGGGATCCAAGCTAACCCCTGTGTCCTATTCAGATTCTGTTTATACTCTGCTTTCTACTACATTGATTTATCAGTTCAAGCACTGCATAACAGGAAGGCACTAAATCAGTTGGCTCTGCCTGAGTAAGCTGGACTTTCACTAAGCAGAATTTGGGAGCTCAGTGCCAAAGTACCCAAGTCAGTAGTGCAGGGACTGATCTAAATGTTGCTGAGCTTGAACTGTATGCAGAGCCACAAAATTGGTGTGTCCACACTGTCCTCCTAGTATCTGTATTTTGTTGGACAGACATGCCCATTGTTTCTGTGGATAATGGAAAGCTGATTGCATTGACTATGTTATAATTAGCTCCTTTTACAGTCAGGTGATACTAATCACCTGACATCATTTAATATGAATCAGGCAAATACTGGTCATACTTGATCGGCCTCTGGGAAATGAAAAATTCAATTAAAATGCCTGAACTACTATATTCTTTGTCTGAAACAAAAGTATAACAGATAGAACAGTCCCTTATCCTGCTACTGCCACTAGATAGTGCTAGACTCGTATTTTATTCTTCACTTTGACCTCAGACCAGCTCCCACTTTGTCTCTTGTTCCCAAACCTCCCTGTTTGCAGGCCACTCTACAACAGTGTGGTTGGTGGAGGGCTTGTCATGCAGCCGGGGATGTGTCTCATGTAACAATTTGTGCAGTGGAAAGGCTGCTGTGCTGTACTGTAGTCAGGAGGTATGTCACCCAGCAAGCACAGAAATTGAAGCCCAAGAGCTGTGTCCGTAAAGCCTCCATGCAGCATTAGCTGGGGCCGCTGGTATATCAGCTGTACTCTACATTTCCAGGTTGCCATTGGTCTGCACTGGTCAGTTGACTGCTGAATTATTAGTGTGTGCACTGCCTGGTGGGGTACCAGTCAACTCTGGAGCCCTGGCCGTGCTGAATACATCCATTAAAATGCTTTCAGAAAATTGAGTGGGTGTCCGAATCCTTCTGATAGTAATTTTTAGTCATCTTCTTTCTCTGAGGAAGTACAAAAAGATTGAAATATGAATGAGTGTAAAGCATTGAAGTAAATAGATGTACAAGTTATTAAATAAATTAGCTTCATCTAAAAAATAAAAGTGTATCAGTCTGCACACATTTGGGGGTTTTCACCTTGTTTTTACATCTGTATAGCATAATTTTTTGAAGCAGGAAAATGGGTTCTCTCAAATAGCGGGTTACAAAAGAAGTAGGTTTTTAAAAAATTACAGAGCCGATTATTTTATGGCCTCATTTTTAATTCATATATTGTAGGCAAATAGAACTTAACAACAAAATAGCAGATTTACTGGATATATTTCCATGATACTGAAGAAATATTGCATCTAAGATATGCCTGTGCAGTAGTTATAAAAAAAAAAATACCTTTCATATATAGAGGAGAATTCACGCAGAGCTGCTCTTCCTATGCACCCTCTATTTGTAATCAGAAGGAAATCCTTTATTCTAACAACATATTTAATTACAAACCAAATAAATCTAAAGAGTCTGGTGGTCCTGATGGTATAAACTATCAAGTACTGCAGTGGAATGAATACAGTTGTTTTGAAAATTGCAAATGGAAAAGAATATAAATGAAATGAAAAGAATGCATAATGTTTAAAGGAATTGAATTTTAAAAGGACATATCAAAAATTAATTTAAACTGAGACCATTTCATATTTATGATTAAAATGCTATTTCTGGAGCTTCTCTTGCCTTCCTTTTTTAATGTCATTCTGTGTGCCTTCTCTCTCCTCTCTTCCATTTCTGTTCATTAGGTAGAAAATACAATATTAAACTATACACTTTTCTCTTTTTTCATAGAGGTTAAATTCTGACCCCATGAAGTCAGTAGAAGAAAAATCTCCTATAGATGTTGGTAGGGTAGTATTTCAAACTATATCCAGCCTTGGATTCTTGTCCCAACTCCCAGATTTATCTACCTTTTTGTCCATAGAAAAGGATATAGTGTGACATTTAATCATACTGTTTTAGTCTGATTTAGTATGACATTTGTTAATAGTCCTGAGATATTAAAGGAATCAGCTTTCGGAGGTCCCTGTGAAACAAGTATATTAGCCTGCAGTCATGGATCAACGATCTAAGCCATGGAGAGGAGATAAGGTTTCAGACTTTTGCCTGTAATGTTTCTTTTCTTTTCACTCTGCTATCTGAAATATTAAATCAACTGGAGGAGAAAATTAAAGATAAGTGTGTGTAGCTTTAAGAAGAGATGTCCGAGGGAGCAATCTTACTGCTGTCTTCAACTACCTAATGGAAGATTAGAGAGAAGACAGAGCCAGGCTCCTCTTGGAACTGTAGGGTGAAGGGGCAAGAGACAAGGCACGTGAAGCATGGAGATCCTGCTTAGATACTAGGAAAATAATTTTTGAAGTGAAAGTGGTCAAACTCTGGAATGGACCGAGAGGGATTGTGTAATCTGCACCTTGGAATACATTCAAAACAGAATTGACTGTGAACAGGGTTGGATTTGACTTGGAAGAATGACCACGAGTTAAAAATTGACTCTGCATGGAGTAGGATTGAACAGATGACCTCCATAGGTCCCTTCCGATTCAAGTTACTGTGTATTTTGTTTTGTTTTGTTTTCTTTCATAGGTCATGATTATCAGACATCCTGATGATCATAGCTATGAAAGAAGGGAATAAAGTCTTCAGATCCTTAACATCTCTGGAAATCTTGCATGAAACCTCGAATAAAATCTTATAAAACTATTGAAGAAAATGATTGCTCTACTAGTTTATTGAGAAAGTTTACAGGCAGAAAGTGATCTCCAAACCAATGGCACACCCAAGACTTAATTTCCCCCACCTGTCCTCTAGCAGATAGGGACACTGAGTATCCAGATCAGTAGGGAAGGGAAGAAACATCCAGAAAGACCTAAAGCAAAAGATCCTAAAATAATAGTGCTGTGCTGTTTTTTTTCAGAGAAGGTATGAGTAGCAGGAGCGGAAGTAAATCTTTTTAAAAAGTAGAAATGAATCAGAACCTAGCTCTTCTATATTAGTTGTATAACCTAGAAGAAACTCCTTTATGTGTTTTTGTTTTTTATTACATTTTGCTTTTTCCTCAGAGGTTTCAATGAGTACTATTTCTGAGATTCTTGGCAGAAGAGTTCAGCTGAAAGGACTGATTGGAAAACGAGCTGTGAAATGTCCTTACTGCGATCTTTATTTTATGAAGAATGGATCAGACCTGCAACGACACATTTGGGCTCATGAAGGTAAAGCAATGGTGTTAACCATTGATTCAGTCTCACATACCTCACAAGCTCTGTTGACATGAAAAGGAATTCAAATTTATTGCTCTACCTGAATCAAAAAATGAAAATTGAGTTGATTAGAAATAAATGCATTAGCTTAACGGATTCTAAATCATATATGGAACTGCATCTTCATAGCATGAGTAAACAGTTTAAGAGTTAAGTAGAAATCAATTAGCTTCTGATTCCTTTTTTTTTCCTCAAAAGAAGTCATTAGCATCCTGAAAGTACTACATAATAATTTCAGTAACAAATGAATTAGTTACATACTGAATTACTTAAAACCAGCAACTTGCTGAAATTCCTTATAAATTACTTCTTTCATAAAGTATGTGGTATTAAAATCTACTAATAAATCAATTGAAATCCAGTTATGTATGTATTTTAATTAGCTCACACTAAGCATGGTGGATAGGTAAGATGAAAAGCCCTGAAGACAATGTTCTCATGTATTTGACTTTCTAGAGATAAATTTGGGAAATTTAGCAACATACAGGTTTAAAATCTCTCAGACTGAAAATGATGCCCAATAAAATTTTATGTCTACCCAGCTTGTCTCTTTTTACAACAGGCAGAAGACAGCTGTTATGGTCTTTAGTCAGTTAATAATCTATGGGTCAGATCTACTCTGGCCTTTGAGCACAATTCTAGATTCCTTATCCATTTTCTGAATAAGCGGGATAATGGTCCTTGGTACTCCCAAACTTATAAGAGTGTTTGTGCTCATGCAGATACCTCAGACATTTATACTGTTACTGTAGATTTCTTCCAAAACCTTAACTAAGAGCTTATCTGCCTTTATATTCTAATAGCTGCCTTCACCAGTAGTCTTTAATGCATTAGGAGCTTTGGTAATGCTGAATTGTAGCCTTAGAAGAATTGATTTTATAGATGCGGTTTGTTTCTGCTGCCGTGGAAGCTTAATACCCACCTAAGCTAACTATCAGGAGAGAGCAAGATGAATCAAAGCTTTTCTTTGCATGTTTAGTTTTGTTCTTATAGACCTCCTGCTAGATCAGATATTTTCCGTCTCTTTTACATGTTTTGACTGATTTGAAAGAAATGAAATATAAGTGCTCATACTTTATCAAAACATAAATGTGTACTGCTGAGGGGTCCATTAGCAAAATTGATGCTAATTAACACTAGCCTACAGCTTTGTACATTTAACTTGTGCTTATGAATTAAATGAATCACAAACCAGTCATCTTAAAATAGGTTTCCCTTCTTTATTGCAGTAAAAGTGTAAGAGCAGGTTTGTGTATCAGTTACACTATTTATGCAGCCTATTTTTAAGTCAATAAAGGACATACCAAGACCAAAATATGAAAATTTGCTTGGTTAAACTCAGTACTTACATTCAGTGGAGAAGTATTATAGTTCCAAAAGCAGGGACCCAATTTTCTTAGTAAGTTAAATGAAGATGTCAAGAGTTCAATGTCATTTACTTAGAAGGTATAGATGAAGTTTCTTAAATGTAAATATTCAAATTGAAAATTTTGACCTTGTTGCTTGTGTTGCTCACACAATGTTAAATCACAAATCAATATCCACCCCACCATCAAAATGTATAGTTTGTTCATTTTATATACGTTTTTGTTGTTGTTTTTAGGTGTCAAGCCCTTTAAATGTTCTCTCTGCGAGTATGCCACTCGCAGCAAGAGTAACTTGAAAGCCCATATGAATCGTCACAGCACTGAGAAAACACACCTTTGTGATATGTGTGGGAAAAAGTTCAAATCAAAAGGCACGTTGAAGAGCCATAAACTCCTTCATACTGCTGATGGTAAGGGCGTGTTTTTTAAATTTGAAATTGCACTAAAGCAATAAGTATTGTGAATATAGTGGAATGTAATTAATGAGCAACTTTTGAACACTGAGACTACTTATAAATTTTGCTTAGTCACAAAAGCCACTTGTAACTGCAAACTTCAGAATTAGTTTTTGTGGAAGACAGACAGCTAACTCTCTCTGGAATACTTGATTTTTCTGAAATTTTGGGTTGGCTTTATACCCCTATGTATTCTTACAGAGAACAGATGATCTTTGTGGGAATTTGAAAAACAGATCAGTTCTTTGATCAGTCTTTTAATACTTTTTACTGTGAGAATATTTTCAGAGTTGTCCAACTGAGGCGAGATGACTGAGGCCCATCATTGGCAAGGCCAAATGTGTATCCTCAATAGATATATCTGCATCATGCACATAGACACACAGTATATAAAAAACATTCACATAAACAATTGTACACATGCAACCAACCACACAAATTAGCACAGGCAGAAAGCACAGCACACGCACAACAGACAGTACAATATCTGATTCCGTTGCCCTTCTGACTCACCAGGATGACAGGTCATTAGTAGAAAGTATATAGAGATACGCAGCATGGATCCCTCCAGTAGTTGGCAGTAGGCCCTGTCTATCCAGTAACTGGATCCCTTCATCTCTATTTCCCCTCTCTTTTCCCATCCCTATTCGTCTCTAAACTACTTTGATCCCCTCTGTTTTCCTGCCTTTAGCTTTCCCCTAAGCACCTCGTGATTGGTTTCTCCTTCCTCATTCTAGAATGGCTTTGAGGTCCTTTTAATATGTTAACCCCTTTCTAAACTTTGCTCTTTCTTCACTGCTCTGCAGTTCCGTGCTATTTCTGAATTAGCTATATGTGGTGCCTTTTACATACATTGGATTCTGTTTCTTCATCCTCTTTGTTACCTCTAGAACCAGTTTTGCCCAGTTTCAGATCAGCATTTCTTTAACTGGCCCTGTGTGTGTTGTTTATAGCCATGGAGTCTCCAGGGCCAATTTGTGCACCATCTTTTATCATCCTAAGCCTGTACTCCACTGCAGCACATCTTCTTGAAGCGTCTTCTTGATCATCCTGAGAAGATCAGGCTTCTCAAGGCCCCTGCTCTCACACCAGGTCTTTTCTTTCCAATAATGTTGGATTGTACCATTCAGAGAAACACAAAGGTAAAGCACAGAATCACACAGAATGGTTAAGGTAGGAAGAGAGCTCTAGAGATCATCTAGCCCAACCCCCCTGCTCCAGCAGGGACACCTAGAGCACGTGGCACAGGACTGCATCCAAGTGGGTTTGGAAGATCTCCAGAGAAGGAGACTCCACCACCTCTGCGGGCAGCCTGTTCCAGTGCTCTGTCACCCTCACAAGAAAGAACCCATGGCCACCTGGTCCCTAGGGAAATGCCTGTTACTGCTGAAGCTAAGAGGAACAACTCTGCAGGTGGGTCAGGAGAAGCTGAGACAAAGGCAGCCTGCGAAGCCTTGGTCCTAGGATCTGCAGGCTCTGTACACAGCTGGTTATCATGGAGTTTGGCCTTTAATCCCATAACCTGAGCACTCATCTTCTGTCATTGCATCTGCCTGAACTCAATGATTGTGGTATATCCTTGGTGAGGACAGGACATGTAAAATTGGAGAGAAAAAAAAAAAGTATTTTGTTTCCAAATTTCCAAATTCAGGTACAGCCATACTCTTATTCCTCTCTGATTGTCAAATCCCCTCAGAGTTTCATTTCAAAACCTTTTATTTTTGATTTCCGCAAATTGGCAGATCCAAATAATGCAATTTGGAAATTAAAGACTTGTTCT